TCTGGGTCCGTGGATGGGGTACGGCTGATGAGGTTCATGATCAAGAACTTCAACTGGTGTATAAGATTTTATTTTATTATGGATTATTTTGAGAGTGAATCGGTTTCACGTAATTAACATATTGATCTTCAATGTTCAGCAATGATAGCAATCAAAGAACAAACCTATCAGCAATGATAGCAATCAAGAACAAACCTATATTCACGACCTTAGCCTTAATAGTGTATTCTGAAGATTTTGGGGAATTGGAAAATGGTGTAGCTTTAGCTCTTTATTCCCGAGTCAATGAAAAGTGCTACCAATTGGATTGATTCATAAATGCAAATGGTTTGCCAAAGAGATGGCACATAATTATCCTTTCTGAGTGATCTATGGATGCATGTGTATTTATTATATAGAGGTTGAGACAAGAGCTGCATGATGTATTGAGCGGTCAAAATGTATTGGAAAAAATTCTTCTTAGACGCTTCATCATAAATTTTATTAAAGAATTATGATATGTTCTTTGTAAATTCTGCCTGAGCTGATTTGATGACGGATCATAAAACACTAATCATTTTTCTTGGCACTTAATAAACTCCAGTGTCTATGCTCGACAATCTCTCCTGAAGATGACAATTGCTTAAAATCTGAGATGTACAAATTCAACTGTAGAGGACATGATATTAATGCTGTTTCAGAAACAGTGATATATTAGCCTTGGTAGAATGCTTTTATTTTACAATTTTGTTTTTGTTATAAATTGTGCTATGTGTTTTTAGATTGAAGTAGTAAACTGTAGGACTGGTGGAATATCGCAGTCTTATGAAGATAATATGCTTTGGATCTAAAGCGAGGTCTGCCCCATAACATATTCAGTTTGCTCCTTGATGTACAATGTGCTAACCAAGAATTGCACTTCTAGCTTATGGACATTTTTCACTTATCCACAATAATTAAGTGATACTGGACCTCTTTTAGTTAATTTTCAAGAAACAATGAAGTTGGTTTTGTAGTAAATGACTTGGATTAAAGAATGTGCAGTCAGTGACAAGACTATACTTCCAATAGCCTTGGTTGTGCTGAGTTTTCTGAATTATTTAGATGCAGTTTTCTATTAAACTCATGATTTTTGTGATCTCTGTTTTCTTTTCTTCCTTGCCTTAATGACATTGAAAAGAAAAATCAAGCAACTGAAAGGTTCTGCAATTATATCTTAATCTAATGTCTTTCTATGCAGTCTTCTGGAGAGAATTACGCTAATCCAAAGATATGCTTCTTTCATGTGGTTTTCAAGGTCAACTGCATGTTTTCTCTCTTTTTATTTGGATATTATGTTGATATGTGTTCTGAATGTATTCATTTGAACATGCAACCAATTTCTGTCTGACAGGCTACAGCCTTGGCATTTTATATTCTTTCGGCTCTCTTCGTTGACAGTTTTGTCATAATCTTTGTTGTCACTGTACTTCTGGCTGCCCTCGATTTTTGGGTGGTCAAGAATGTTAGTGGACGCATCTTAGTTGGCCTGAGATGGTGGAATGAGATAAATGAGGATGGTGAAAGTGTGTGGAAATTTGAATGCCTTGACCAAGAGGTGAGTAGTTCAGTAGTCTTGTCTGCGTGTTAACTTTTGTCCTATATAATATGTATATTTCATTCATTTGCCCATCATTTTCAGTCATTGGCTCGGATGAACAAGAAGGATTCATGGTTGTTCTGGTGGACATTGTACCTTACTGTGAGTACATAGATTCAGTTCTAAATATCTTTCAGGATTCGAAATTCAATTGAACAAAGTGGGAAGACCATCTACAGATTAGTCACAAAAATCAAGAAAATGTTAATCGTTTTGTCTCAAAAGCCTTGAGAAGCCTTTTCCATTTTTATCTGTATATGGTATCAATAGTAAAAAATAAAATCATGTATGGCAGTATAGGTGGCATATGCAGCTTTGTGTGTCCAATCTGAATTACAGCTAAAATATTGACTTTTGTTTGTAGGCTGTCGCTTGGATCGTTTTTGCTATATTTTCTCTCATCAGGTTCCAAGCTGATTATCTCCTCGTTGTTGGTGTCTGTTTGACCCTCAGCATTGCCAATATTGTTGGCTTTACTAAGTGCCGAAAAGGTATGTGAACAAACTGAAATGTATCTTAAATTCGAATTCCCAAATGGTGGTTTGATATTAAGGGTATAAACCTGGCAGTATGCAGTAACTGAATGCATAAAATAATCGTTGAGCATCCTTCATTGCATGTACTAAAATTTATTGTGTGAAATTGTATTTGATCTACAAGTATTTTGAGTAACGGTGGATTTACATACACTAATTTACTATTGAACGTTGGGACCATGATATGTACATGTTGGTAAACTGGTAGCATAAATGCTGCCCTTTTGGTACATTTTTCTTCTTACTATTTGCTAATGGGGTGCTGCCCTTTTGGTACATTTATCTTCTTACTATTTATAAATGGATTTTAAATATTTTCTTGTTTATAGAGCATTTGAAGGTTGAGCAAAATTTTCCTCTTCACATAATACCCTGTATGAATTTTATCACACTAATAATATCATACGGAGTTGTTGATGTAGTTATTCTTTCTGTTCTTACATTTATAAAGCCTTATGCAATTCAAGTTTACGATAAGTTAAAAGGTTAACTACCCTTACCTCTTCACTGGTCTGTCCACCTTAGCACCTTCCATCATCACCACATTTTTCCTTAATGTTTATTACACTTAGATTTTGTGTGTAAGTTTAAACTTGATTAGACTTGAAATTTGAAGCGCTGTGTTTCGAAAAATATACCTCGTTGATGAAAGAATACACATTATTTGAGACCTCACTTCTTGCTGTCTGTTGCTATACCTAAGTTCTTAACATGTAGCCACTTGTGTGATTTAATTTGTTATTCTACATCACACATCTCCTATGAATATTCACAAATCATCTCTCTCTCTCTCTCTCTCTCTCTCTCTCTCTCATGGTTCTGTGTGGCTTATCCATCTTTGTTTTTGCTGCAGATGCTAAGAAACAGGTTCAAGCGTTTGCCACCCAGGCCATTACTTCTCGGTTCACATCCACCATTCAATCTGCATTTAGTGTTGTTTGAATGGTTTTACTTATGGGACTGCAATTTGAGATTCTTGTATCTAAGGGTAATATTATCTGTTAATGGCTTACTGTTTTGTTCGATGTAATATGTTCATTTCTAAAGGCCTATTGTGGGATGTGAGAAATTGATATCATATGGTAACCCATAATTTTGATTGAGTACAATTTTTTTTTTCTTTTTTTTTTTTTTNTTTTTATTCATCAAAGCCGAATATGCAAAAATTCCAATGAACAGACTTGTGGATAATTTGATAATTTGGCTATTTACGTGTTGAATTACTGCTATTAAGGTATAAATCAGCAAACAAAAGTATTCCTACGTTCTCACAAAATAGTATTCCTGAAAAGTTTGAGGTAGCAAATTGTGTTATCAAATAACGTTAAAGAGAAGAAACATTACTGTACACAAGTTCTTTAAGCCACTCGCAGATAGAGAATAACATGAGCAGGGCGAAAATAAAAAATAAATTGAGAGGGGGTAAAATATATAATATAGTTTAAAAATGACAATAAAATAAATGGAAATACCTATTACAGTTGTTCACGATGAGAAGACATAGTCTAAAATTGTAGTATAATAGTTTCATTGGTGAGTTTATCAAACATGTCTCTTAATATACGAAACAAATCAAGCGTTAAGTCAATCATCTTTTATGAGGTTGCGTAGTTGATTTTTTATGATCTTCTTTGTAGAGAAGGCCCACGCCAGATATTTTATGATCTTCATTATAGAAACTGCTCTCGTCACACTCAGAGTGGCAATCGACAAAGTCAATGCTTAATTAATAAGCATATCGACCACTGGATATACCACACGCCTTCTATTTTCTACCATTTTAATAGCAAGTTCTGTTATACCATTAACCGCATAAAATTCACTGCTCTTACGCACATCGATAATATAATTCTCAAAGTGATTATCAATCTCCACAACACATGTAGAAAAATCCTTATGGTATAGCCGATCAAACCTTATCAAACTTTCCTTGTTGATGTGCGTTGAAAGAATCCCTAGGATTGAGACATCATACACAAAGAAGAAACTCGGAATTCGACTAAGAAAATCGTTTATTAAGCTCCACAAGTTGTTTATCTAGAGCAACATAAAATAACTTACAATCAAAATAAACCAAGTTTGTCTTTTCATGAGTTCTTTGTCTAGGGCGACCAGAAGTCGTGAATGTTTAATCCATATTAAGTATTGTGATTTCATGCATAGAACAAAATGAAGAAACCTCATTTAAAAGACTATCTCATCCTTCGTCTCTTAGTGAATGCAATCTTTGTTTTGATATCGAAACCAATATCATAGGATTCTCAATATGCTGATATTTCTTTTGCAAAATCAATAGCAAGTCATGAGTAATTCCCAATACATTTAATAGTATAAGTGTGCATTGTTTTGTCCAAAATATTTGATGGATCGACCCGTCTAACCGTTAGGATCCTCACATAAGAATTTATACATATAATGTCTAGGCAACTCGCACTTTATCCAAAATTAAAAAAATCATATTGGAGTTGAATAATAAGAAATATTGGAGTCCAAAATTAAGAAATATTAAACTTGCTTGCACCAGGTTCGTGCAACGATATCAATGTACTTCACCAATCTTCTATTTTTTTTATGATATTTTGGAAGATCATGCCCCAGGTACGTTGTGAATGGTCGGCAAAGTAATATGGGATATTGCCTCGTCCTTCATCGGCTGCATTTGTTAAATTAATTGTTTCTCCACAACTTCAAAATCACAAGTTGTTTTCTCAGCGTCAGGAGTCGACTAGAAAAGATGTTGAGTCGCGCATTTGGTGTTCTACAAGCTCGTTTCTCATTTATTAAACGACCATGTCTAGTATGGGATCGTCTTTTTATAGGAAAAATTATGCCGGCTTGTATCATCATGCATAATATGATACTAGATGATGAAGGAAACACATACTTAAACTATTATGATCCCACATAATTTATGAATGATAAACCTACAAATGGATGGAGGCAACGACAAAGAATAGAAGAAATTGAGTAGAAGATGATGATAATGAAATGCCGTTTCAATACTCGTTTGAAAAAATTACAAACCTATCCACATGTATGAGTGATAGGCAAGGTTCTCAAAACCGGCCGGTGTATTGGCCGGTTCCCGGCCGAACCAAAACCAATATCAAACGGTTTGAACCGGTCAAAAACTGGTAAAGCCGTTAAACTGGAAGCAGTTTGTGCGGCCCAGCAGTCCCTCTGCTTCCTCTGTTTACTGATGGTTGGCCACTCATTAAAATAGCTGAATTAACTTTGAAGTGTTTCGGACGTGGGAGTTATGGGAGTTCACTTGCTGGAAATTATTGGGCCTTTAGCGTATTGGGCCTTTTTGATTTATTGTTGGAAATAAATGCCTGGCATCTTATTGCTTGGAGTTGGACTCTTGTTGCCTTATTGTTGAAAAATGAAAACCTATTCATTATAACTTATAAGCCCATATTTGAATAATTAGAAAATTTTATAATTTCTAAGTGTAGACTTAGCTTAAGCCTATACAGCAATAAGGCATATTGGTTATGGTTATATGCACAATGTCATTATGCACAATTCTTTATTTATTTTTTCTTTTATTTATTTAGACAAATATTATTATACAATATAAAATTAATGATAAAAATATATAAAATTATATATTATATATATAAAATAAATAAAAAATATATATTAATTAAACCGGTTCGACCACTAGTCCGACCAATGAACCATTAAACCGGTAGTTTCACTGGTTCGATGACCGGTTCGATTTTCAAAACCTTTGTAATAGGTCACAACTTCGTAATAGAGAAGCTCACGTGACTAAAAAAATGATTTGATAGAACACATATGGGAAAAAAATGGTAATTATTGATGTGTGATTTCATTTGAAATGTTGTAACTTGTTTAATTAATTTTAATATTTTATTTCAATTTATGTAATTTCAACTTTTAATTGAGTTCATAGTTTTTTAATTATATTGGAAAATATTAATCTTTTGAAATTATTACGACTTTAATTATAGATTTTTTGATTAATTTATCGCAATTAAAACAATAACAAAAAATCAATTGTAGATAATACTTAATAAATAAATAAAAATAAAATAAATATTTTGAGTTGGATTGTGTTGGAGATAAAGATAAGTTGGGTTGTATGGTTAGGTTGTGTAGGTGGATGAGAGAAAGCTAACTTTTTATTGTTAGATTGGGTTGAGTTGTGAGCATTTTACTAAAACTCGACCAAGGCAGGGGATAGAAGTTGTCTGGCCGCCTCTTATTTGCATAAATAGGCTAAAAAAAATGCTCTTAGGCGAGCTCGGCGGCCAGGTAGTTGGGCGGCGCCGAGACGCGCCTAGGTGGACTCGGCGACAAATTTTTATTTTTTTAATACTAATACATTATTTTGTTATAATTTTTTTTATAATATATTAATATTATGATTTGGACTTAGGCGTGTTGATTTATTATAAGTTTAGATAGTTTTATTTTGTAGTTACTGAAAATAAATAAAAAATAAGATATTTAAAATTGATTTTTAGGCTTCCCCTAGGCGCTGTTCGAGCGTCTAACAACTTCTAGAACACTGGTTGTGAGTAAAGATAGTCTTAACTGGATTCCATTCAATTCTAAGAAAATCAAACATTCAATAATTATTTTGTAATTTAATTTTTCAAATGTTTTAATAAGTTTCGAGATTGACTACCACTGTCTCATAGAATTGTAAACAAGTCAAGCCGAGCTTGAGATATTAACGAGTCGAGCCCGACTTGGCTCATTAATAAACGAGCTCGAGCTCGACTCGTTATCAATATTAACGAACCGATTTTGAACCATAGAGACGATGTTGAGCTTTAACAAGTCGAGTTATAAAAAGTTTATAAAAATTCACTATTCTAACCTTATCGAGTCAAGCCAAATCGAATCCTAACCTTAACGAGTTGAACCGAGTAAATAAACGACTCGTTTTTTTTAACAGCTCTACGTCTTCCTATGTTAAGACCTTATACTAGTTTTTATCATAGTTGTCAAAACCGGACCGGACCGGCCGGTCCGACCGGTTGAACCGGGAACCGGCCAGCTAACCGGTCCGGTTCAATGGAAGAAACCGGCTGTGACCAAAACCGGTCAAAAACCGATCAATGACCGGTCGGACTGGTCGAACCGGCCAAAACCAGTCAAAATACCGGTTGGTTCAACCAGTCAATTTTTTTTTTTTTTTTTTTTTTGGTCGATTGGGTCAAATAATTTTTATGTATAAATTCTAACACTTTTATAAAACAACTAACCTTTTATGGTTACCGATGTAGGACAAGATATAAGAATTCTAAATTTTTAATTGTAAAGGTAAAAGGATTAAAGCCACGTGTGGAAGAAATTTCTTTTTCCTTTATGTGCGTGTGGAAGGAATTTCTTTTCCCGTATCCCATCTTTAATTTCTATTATTTTATTGACCAATGTGGGAGTGTGAGGAAATATTCTTTTTTCTATATTTTTGTACTATTATTTTATTGTTTAATCTATCTATGGTGGGACCAACCTTTTAAAAAATAAGTCAACTATATTTAATATTTATAAAGTATTATATATTTAAAATATCATTAAATTAAATAACTTAAAAATTAAGTTAACTATATCTATGAAATATTATATATATATATATATATATTTGAAAATATCTATAAATTAAATAACTGTCCAACCGGTTCAACCACTGGTCGGACCAGTGAACCATTGAACCAGTAGCTTGACCGATTCGATGACCGGTCTTGTTTTGACAACCTTGTTTTTTATCCCCATTTGCAAGCGCCCACCAATTAATGCACACGGCGAGTTAACTCAGTCCCACCCACCTCGCTTCTTTCCCNCACAAGTCCCTAACCCATACAGATCTCGTTGCAATTTTTAGCCTACTGTGCATTTTGTGGACCAGTTCGATTTCTTCTTGTAAGCTGATTATTGATGAATAATTTTATGAGATCTTGTCTTCGTTTGGATTCATGCGATTTCTCTGTTATTAGATGATACATTCATAATATCTGTTATTTATTATTTTCTATAAAATGTAGCTGATTATTAAGGCTGGCGATGCAACTGAGGTGTTTGAGATGAGTAACACCAATTTCTTTCCATTAGAAAAAAAAGGGTAAAACATTTATTGCAACCTATACTCTTTGGAACTTGAACTTTGTTAACATTCATAACTTGCAACATATATTTGTAAGCTGTATAATGGTCGTTTCATCAAACTCTTGCACCATTAGTGTCATTGCTGTAACTAAGCAAAATTGTGCTATTTCTTTAAGAATATAACTATTTACATCCATCCTCTCCATGCCACTCACCAAGATTGTTTAGCTCACTCCACGAATTTTTAATATTCTCAATGGCTAGAGATTTTGCTACGGAGGAGACTTACACAGTGTAATAGAAGTTCCAAAGGCTACATTTTTTCAACATGTGTAACTGTGAAACATCAAACACTGTTCTTCCATTATACTGATACTTCAGTTGTACCTTAAAGCTTATGTGCCTTTTTTTTTTTTTTNTTTTTTTTTTTTTTTTTGGTTTAGTTTTTTTCTGTCTTGCAGTTAGTTATACATGGATGCCGATTCTGAAAACGATTTCAGAGAATTTCCCGAATTTCCCAGACGACACATCCACACAATCGATACGTGTACCTTTTGCCACCGAGCTTTATTGCCAGATAACGTTGTCGATGGCGATCTCGACTTCATTGGCGCATGTTCTCCCAACAGTTCTCTCAACTGATCAACCTGGCAAGGCAAAACCAATTCAACTCCCACGAGCTCCAATCCATGGTGGGCCCCACCAGTTCCCTACAACGATGTTGATGATGGCTGGAGCTCAATCGAGAATGATAATGATAATTCGTACAGTGGCACGGATATCGACCCGATGAACGCAGGTCTCTCCTGTTGAGTGCACTCGTCTTTAGTAACAACTTTTGTGGAGGTTTATAAACCCCAACTGTTGAGTACACTCATCTTGAGTAACAACTTTTGTGGAGGTATAAACCCAACTTCAAGGTTTACTATTAAAACTACATGGGTTTGAGGGGTTTGCAAATGTAAACCTCTCAAACCTTATTAAATAATAATATATATTCAAAGCGAACGACCCATTTACTCTTCTTCTTTATTTATTTATTTATTTTTTCATATAAGAAACTATGGTTTATTTTTTTATAATAATTTAAAAAATAATTAATATAATAATTACTGAAATATTATATTTAGAATATAACTAAAAGATTGGTAATCTCAATTGACATTTTTATGATATTACTTAATAATTTTAGATTATTGAATTATAATTTTCAATTTTTATTCTAATTAATCCTACAGTTTTTATTTTATTATTGGAGTAATGTTTGTGGGCATCCGTTGAAATAACTCGGTTTCACTTGTTTTCTTGATAACACATCTAACTCATTCTTGTACCATATAATTGAATTCAATTTTTTCCGGATAATAGTATCATTTCAGTTTTATTTTAACGAAAGTAACATAATTTTACTTTTATCTTGTTCGAACAATGTTTGTTGCCGATTGTTCTTAGGTACGTAGCCAAAAATTTATTTTACACTGGGCTGTTACATAACATGACCAAATTGTAAGAAAAAATAACACAACTTGGTTCGTTCGTTAAAGTTTGAGTTAAATTTAGTAAATGAACCGAGTCAAACATGTTCATTTATTGAACAAGTATGAGTTCGAATATAATGTATTTAATTCAATTTAGCTTGAACAACACCACTAATAGTATGTATAAAAAAGTCTGTACGAAAATATTTTTTATTAAGTATTTATTGTAAATTACAAGAAATGCATAGTGAAAGGAATGAAAAATAAATTAATAGAAATGTGACATGTTTTATACAAAAACCTAGTGAGCTACTCCTCCTATTAGCCTAGGTTCATCTCAAAACCAATTGGTAGTAGGAGTAGTAGCCCACTATAAGTATGACCTATGTTATCTGTATAAACAACGTGGGACAACTCACAAGTGACTCTTCACTTGTGAGTCCTTCATGTGAAGCATACTATAAAAGGGTGAACCTAGGTGCACCTTAGTTATGTTCCATCCCAAAACCAACTAGTAGTAGGAGGAGAGCCCACTAGGCTTATAAATTAGGCGTATAAACAATGTGGGATAACTCACAAGTGATATTCTAATACGCCTTCTCACTTGTGAGTCATTCGCGTGAAGTGCACCATTTCCCTCAACTCGTTCTTATACCATACAATTGAATTTATATTTTTTTTTTAATACTAAAACAATTCTAGTTTTATTTTAACGAAAATACCATACATATTATCAGGTGGTACAAACTCAAATGTTAGTTTTCAACATTATTATGTAAGTTATATAATTCGTAATTTTTTTAATTAAAGTAAAATTTTACATAGGTACATAATTAACATTGTATAATTATAAATAATACAATATAATTATATATAATTATATTTTTTATGCATGTATTTATGATAAATATATGAAACATTTTAGATTGAATGAAATAAAAAATTGAGTTTTAAAATATTAATAAAATATAAGAGTACTATATTTGTTAAAGTAAGTGGAAAACATGTGGGACCCATAAAAAAAAAGTTTATGGGTATAAGAATAAGAATGAGGTTTTGAATGATTTGGCATGTTGGAAAATGTAAAAGGAGGTTTATGGCGTTCAATTATTGGATGACTGTTATGCACTTATTATGGCGTTCAATTATTGGTTGTTGCCAGAAATTTTACCGTTGAGTGCAAGTTGGCTTGTTACAAAATAAGGACATGTTTTGCCATTTTTGAACGTGCATCATGTGGTGTGGTGTCGTGTTTGAATCAATATGTTTTACTAAAGCGAGAGGTGGGGCAGAGTATGATGATCAAGTTGTAGGCGCAATGTTTCTTCCCCACTCCTTATAAATTATTATCCGTCTTTGTAAACAATAAATTAGATACATTGTTGAACACGCGTTCTATTACTTATTTTATTCCAGTTAAAGANAAAAAAAAAAGAGCAAAAGCTCAGTAGTCAATACCCGGCAACAATGGCTTCCTCTCCACACACAGCCGCTGACCAATCTTTCCCGAGCTACCTCACCACCGTAAACGTGTCCAACTTCGTCTCCTCCAAACTCTCTGGCGACAGCCGCTCGAACAACTACCGGTCCTGGAGACGGCAGTTGCTCTGCCTCATTGAGGCCCACGACTTGACCCGCTTCATCGACGCCATGAATCCTCCGTCGGCAGACAATAATGTGGCGTGGAGGACGGACCGAGTGGTCATGGGCTGGATTCTCGGGTCACTGGACGACCCGACGCTTAGGACGGTGGCCCATTTGGTCACCGCCAGAGATGTGTGGGCCAAGTTGGAGAAGAACAACGGTGGGCCAACCCCCACCAGCCCGCCACAGCCACAAGGTACTCTTTGCTTAACGATTAATGGGCCACCGCCAGAGATGTGTGGGCCAAGTTGGAGAAGAACAACGGTGGGCCAACCCCCACCGGCCCGCCACAGCCACAAGGTACTCTTTGCTTAACGATAAGCTTTCCAGCTTTGGCTCAATAAAGATTTGATTTTTATTTTGTACAATTAGTGTATGTTTTAGGAGGAAACTGAAATTTCTTAGGCTCGGGTTTTGTGTATTTTTAGCGAAAAAATTTCAGTATAACTTGAGTAATCACTAAGGTGCTGATTGGATATGAATTCAACTAGTAAAAAACTCGTTATTTTTTAACTATAGTTAAGTTTGAAAAAATGTAGTATGGTTAGTTGTTAGTGGATATGTTAAAATATTATTTAAAATAAAATAATTAAAGTTGATTTGATGTAAAAGTAGGAGAAAATGATTGGAAGTGATAGTTAGTTAAAATTATGTGAGTAGATGAATAGTGAATTAAAGTTGATGCGATATATAAGAATGATTGGTTGATATTATTTAATTATATTGATAATATTGAAGATAGTGTAGTTGAGTTAAATTTGAGTTTTGATTGGTTTATTTACTGTACAATATGTATACAATCACCCCCTAACGAGATGAACCACACTTACTTGCTTTCCATATGTGGACTTATCAAAAGCCACCGAGCACGAGTGGCAAGAGTATCTGCCGCTGTACAGAGCCACGCTGATGGGAGACTGGGAGCGGGCCAAACAAATCATTGCCCGGGACCCGCACGCCACCACAACCCGGATAGCCTTCACCTTGGAGACGTCCCTCCACATAGCCGTGGGCACGGGCAAGGCCCTCCATTTCGTCCAGAACTTGGTCGACATAATGCCAGACGACCTATTAGGAGTGAAGGACGAGCTCGGCTACACGGCCCTTCACGTGGCGTCTCTGACTGGAAATAAGGTTGCCGCCAAGATCCTGGTGGGCCGCAGGCCTGATTTGCTGTGCGCACTTGACAACGTTGGTAACTTCCCAGTCCACAAGGCGGCATTGGCGGCCCATGGGGAGACCCTTTGGTACTTGATATCCGAGACAAGGGACGACTGGTTACCGAGCCCGTACCTTGGGGAGATGGCCTCAAGATTCTGTGTATGCTGATTGATGCTGATATTTTTGGTGGGTGTGTTTATGGTCTGGGACCGGCTACTTTCATTGTTGTCACTTTTCTCAACTGATGATGACTTATCTTTGGTCTGTATTCAGATGTGGCTTTGTATTTGGCTCAAAAGTATTCACATTTGGCTTCTTTGAAACTGAAAGATGGCACGTCGGCCTTGAGCAGGTTAGCGCTTAAGGACTATGCATTCCCGAGTGGCGTAAGGCGATTCAACTTCTGGGAACGGTTTATTTACTCAGGTTAGTCTCTGTTAAACTATGTTCGCCATGAATTCAACACTAATTGTATGAGAGTGATTTTGTGTGTAAATGTATATATAAGAAATAAAGTGATTGTTTTCAATTGATTTGGAAAATGGTTCTCTTTGACTTTGCTTTGATTATTTTCTTATAGAAGGATTCAGTTATAGTCATCATGTAATACAGAAAATAAATCTTTGCATTGTGAAACTTTCTTCACAATGTATAATCTATTTTTAACTTCTTTTGCAGAATAATGCCATACTCCAAAGGTTGCAAGGTATTTTTTTATTCTTTTGCTTTATTCCTCTGTCAAAATTATCTATCTTTCTTGCCTTTTCATAAGTAATGCCTCAATTGATAAGGATTCACAAGACTTTCTTGGTTTTTGCAAAAATTTCATGTTTAAAACTCGAATACTTCCATTACATTGACTTTCATCATGTTTGACATACCACCAGTTCCTCATGCGAAGGCCAATCGCCAAAGAAAACGCACTCATGAGCTGGTGTTTGATCTTCTTCGAACCCTCTGCAAGAATATGGAGTGCTTAGATTACAATCAGGCCTCTGGAATCTACGTGGACGCCATTCTTTTGGCTGCACGCTCGGGGGTTCACGAGGTTATCGAGGAACTTGTGGCCACTTTTCCGGCAGCCATATACTCTCGTCATTTCCTCTCAAAGCAGTACATATTACACATGGCGGCCGAGAACCGTTGTGAAAAGGTTTTCAACTTGATTTACCAGATGAGCAACCTCAAGCATCAGATCTCTGATTTGGTGGATGCTAACGGAAACACTCTCATGTACCTGGCTGCACAGTTGGCGCCCCACCGCATAAACTCAATCTCATTTCTGGTGCAGCTCTCCAAATGTAGCGCGAGTTGCAGTGGTTTGAGGTACGTGACGTGAATTCTTGTAAGTTATTAGCCATTGGTCATGAATTTATTGTGTGCTATTAAATCATTATCTCGTTATTTTTAGTATTATCTCCGTCAAATTGATTGCACGTTTGGTCTAATTGATGTTAATAGGAAGTCAAGAAATTTCTCAAACCCTATTCCCAAAAACGATTCAACAATTCCGAAAGCGGAAAAACAGCTGAGATGGTATTCACAGACGAGCACAAGGAACTAAAATCTGAAGGCGAAAAGTGGATGAAGGACACAGCCAACTCGTGCACAATTGCCGCCGCATTGATTGCTACCGTCGTGTTCGCCGCCGCTATCACGGTCCCCGGCGGAAACGCGTCCAACGGCTTCCCTTTCTTCTCCACGAAGGCCGCCTTCATAATATTCGCGATCTCGGATGCCGTCTCTCTCTCTTCACGTCCACAACCTCTCTCTTGATGTTCTTGTCTATTCTGACCTCACGCTATGCGGAGGAAGATTTCAGGTACGCGTTGCCCAAGAGGCTCTGCATTGGACTCCTCACACTTTTCATGTCCATCTCGTTTATGATGGNGATTTGCTGTCACTTTAGCAATTTAGATGTAGTATGGTTGAGCAGACTTTAGGTTTATTTGGCAATTAGCAGTTTCGGTTGGTAACCAAACATAGACGGATCCACATGGGGTCCAGGGGAGCCATGGACCCCCTCATTTTTTTAAATATCATTATATATATATATATACATATAAAAAAAGAAAACACTATAATATATGGAAAAAAATGCAAAAAAGTATTTATAATATATAAATAATTAAAACTTAGTTTCTATGATATTTTAATTTAAATTAATATAAATAATTAAAACTTAGTTTTTATGCTATTTATTTAAAAATATACTAACGATCCTTATATTTTACATTATTAGATAAATTTTTAAACGTATTTATAATGATTTACTCTTTCGGTCTCTTAATTGTAAATCGATTTAGTGATTTATAAAATCGAGTATTTAGTTGGATTTTGTTATATTTTTGAATGTTTATTGTTTACTTTATTTTTTTGTGTAATCACATATTTTTATTTTATTTTTTTTTAAAAAAAAAGTGGTCGTTTGATAAGCTCTAATCAACAAAAATGCAATGCAACGTGCTGTAAATGTTAAGTTTAAATAAAATTTTAAATCAAAAAACTTTTTTTTTTTTCTTATAAATTATAGATGTTGATATTAAATTATAAATACATGAAATCTCTTATTCTTTTGTTTATTTTTGTAAAAATTTTGATGGTGATATAGATTCTAAATTTTTTAAAACTTGATGTTACATATATCAATATTTATGTTTATAAGTAAACACATTTTTATATGAAATGAGCGTCTTGACTTAAACTACAAGATTGTTATTTTGTATTTAAAATTGGATCCTCCTGAGTAAAATCCTATATCCGTCACTGTAACCAAACACCTTTTCTCTAATTGGTAAAGTCAAAGCATCCAAGTGTTCAAACATCATTTTTTTTCTAACGCCATTTTTCTTCGTAATCACTTTTTTCACCTTTTTCTGAGTGCGTTTGAATTTTGTAGTGTGTTTATACTTTATATATGTAAGAAAAAGTTGGTTTTGTACCGATTTACGATTCCATTTTTTATAAGTGGAAGACATAGAAAATTCTCAAAACCATTTTAAGGTGAATGAGAAATTAATTCTAAGTTGTATATGTGGGAAATGTAAAGTTGAACCAATGAGTTTAAGTAACTCAAATTATTGGATTCGTAAATCATTATATTTTGATAAATGTTTGGACAAATTTAATGAGCCATAATCATACATTATGTACGCTAGAATTGTAGAATGACTCGTTGGGGACAAGTAGAAAAAAACGGAACTCGATTCCGAGTCCGTATGAGCTCGTACGAGCCCGCGGCGCACGGGCGCGCAACTGGCTGCGGAAATCAAAGGGTCGCAACCCTTGGTGACCATAAGGTATCTTTTGGCCACTAGATGCATCCGTTCTCGTTCGGGCATGTCCCAAAAGGTGTCTTTTGACACTTAAACCTCTTGGAGGTGTTTCACTACATCTATAAATACCCACATACTTGAAATCATTAAAAACATGAAAATTAGAGAGCTGTTGCATTATTTTTCAAAGGTCATATAGCATATTGTGGTCTACGATTTTTTCATTGAGTCTTGAGAGTTCCAAACAATAGTAGTTTTCGCCGAAGGCTTGTATATTTGAAGTACCACTATATACAAGTCGAAAGTCGTTATATCTTGGAGGCGTTTGCCGTTAACCGTGGGTATTTTACGGGGCAATTTCGTCATAAAGAGAACGTAACTATTACGTGCCTCGACTTTGATTTTTGTTCATTCTTCTTAAGTTGTCTTTTTGATATTCACAAACCATAAATATACTACAATATATATTGTCTTTATATATATATATATATATATATATATATAGGGGCTGGTTCAAATAAAAACCAGCCTTGGTGTGAGAACCGTGAGAACCATATTTGATGCTATTTTTAATTGTGTATGATGCTATTTTTAATATTACAAGATGCTATCATTTTTATAAATATTAGCATAAATTGTGGTGCTATTTTTAATAAAATATATCCTAGTTAAAAATAGCACTAAAACACACTCAAGCATAGCACTTCATACAATTAAATTTCATTGTTCTCACGCTAGGACTTGGTTCTCATTTGAACCAAATCCATTTGAACCAAATCCTATATATCTATATGATCAAATGAGAATGAATTCTTCCATGAGAAATAAGAATGAATTTTAGTAGTTGGATGTGATAGATCAACATTTCAAGGTTAGTAAAAAGCTTCAACATTGGTCAAAGAAGTGGTGGCATTGATGTAATTATGGACACTTTGATTTTTTCGCGTAGTCACATTTCTGTTATTTTTTGCAGAACATTTGATATATTCCATAAGGCTAAGAGTAAGAAGTTTCCTTTAATAACATGCTAACGACTAAGCTTACCCATCTTGCTGGCGCAATTTTTTTAGTTTTGGGCTGGAGATTGACGAATAACTGAGCATTCTTTGGCATCTGCAGCAGATACCCTGCCTCAGTTGACACATTATTTACTTGAACAACAAGAGTTAGACGCATTCTCTAGATTATATCCGTCGTCCATTATGAACAACCAAATCGATCAGCGTTCATTATGGACGACGAGATTTTCGGGTGGAGCATGATTCCTGGGCTGAGGGTACAAATCGGATTGAACAAAGCAAGGAACGTGACCTTTGTGTATCAAGTATTTTCATTGTTTCCTTACTTTGTGCATATTTCTAGAACTATAATTTTTGTTTAACGATTTGTCTATTGCTTCTGAATTAAAGCTTTCATTCTAATTTTTTGTATAATTTAGAATTTATTCTTGCTTTAATTATGATTTTTCTTAATTTGCTTGCATTATTGATTTAATTGACTGATGTGGAATGAATTTATATTGCAGGAAGACGTACGTAAAATGTTCATATTTTACATGTGATTATTGAATAATTATGTCCAGTGCGAACAATAAATATTTGGGAATTATCGACTAAATTTAGTGCCAACAAAAAATAAATTACTATTTCATAATTATAGATTAAACTTAGGCCGGCTGTGCGTGCATAGTCGAGAGCCCACTTGTGCATATATATATATATATATATATATGATATAAATGGTATTATAAAATGGATAAAAATGAATAAAGTTGCATATATAACAATATACATAATTTTTCATTTTTGGTAGTACAAAAATTCTACACGATGTGCAACTCACAAAATTCATTAAATTGTTGACGTAGGGTGCACTTGGATATAAGTTGGGTTGAGTTTTTGAGAAAAAAATGATTGAATTAGGTTTGAGTGGAATTTTGAATTTTTATTAAAATAATCTTTAAAATAAAATGATTAAAATTAATTTGACATAAAAATAAAAGAAATGATTGGAAGTGATGAGTAGTTAAAATTATGTGAGTGAATGAATAGTAAATTAAATTTAATGTGATGTGTGTAGATCATTGATTGGTGTTATTTAATTATATTGATAATTTTTTATTTTTTTTTGGTACATTTTATATTGATAATATTGATAGAGTTGATGTTGAAGTAAATTTGAGTTGTGATTAAAAAATTCTAATCACAATTTATATCCAAGCACTACCTTAGTACTAATAGAGTAATAGTTATAGCAATTTCACTTTCAACCATGTAATTATCACGTGCTCGTTTTTTTTTTAAATTCACTTCTTTTTAATTTTTCACATATGAAATATTTAATTGAGGAACAAAATGTCATAATGTTAAATAATAGGACAAATTTGGATTTATAGTTTGATTCTTAATTTCTTCTTCATCTCTATACTAAATAAACTTTGGTTTTCAAGACGATATTTTTTCAGCCTTGCCTTTAGTTGGATTCCATTCAATCTATATATATATCTAAAAAAGTTAATGTAAAAATTCTTTTTAAAAATCTAAAATAATTGAGTCAAATGTTTGACTTACTAAATGTGGAACATTTTTAAAAATCCTGATTTTTGTTGGTTTTCACAATTTGGCGATTTTTTCTTTTTTCTTTTTTTAACCGATAATCTATTCAGGCATTGCATAATTCATGGAATGAATTTTTCTTTTTTCCTCGCGTTTTCTATTTAATATTTGAAACCGCACAGATAAATATTCACGCGTTTTTAGTTAAAATTTGTTCACACGTTTCCCAATCTGCACTGATATATCTATTACTGCAAATAAAATATGTTCACACGTACGATTAATTAGGAATCACGCGTTTCACAATTTGCACTGATATATGTATAACAAATTTGCACTGATATATCTATAACAAATTTTCTAATTATTAAAACATGTGCCATATTTTTTGCAATTTAAAAAACAACTATTCCTTATTTTATGCACGCTAACTTGAAAGAGAATCCAATATATATATAGTTGTTGATTTTTATCATCTTTTTTATTTTTTTTTTAACCGATAATCTGTTCAGGCATTGCATAATTCATGGAATGAAATCTGGATTTTTCTTTGTTCCTCGCGTTTCCTATTTAATATTTGAAACCGCACAGATAAATATTCACGCGTTTTCAGTTAAAATTTGTTCACGCTGTTTTCAGTTAAAATTTGTTCACGCGTTTCCCAATCTGCACTGATATATCTATTACTGCAAATAAAATCGGTTCACACGTACGATTAATTAGGAATCACGCGTCTCACAATCTGCACTGATGTATCTATAACAAATTTGCACTGATATATCTATAACAAATTTTTTTAGTTATTAAAACATGTGCCATATTTCTTGCAATTTAGAAAACAACTATTCCTTATTTTATGCACGCTAATTTGAAAGAGAATCCTATATATATATATATATATATATATAGTTGTGGATTTTTATCATCTTTTTTCTTTTTTTTTTTAACCGATAATCTGTTCAGGCATTGCATAATTCATGGAATGAAATCTGGATTTTTCTTTGTTCCTCGCGTTTCCTATTTAATATTTGAAACCGCACAGATAAATATTCACGCGTTTTCAGTTAAAATCTGTTCA